CAAATATACATATCGGATCTGTCGATTCCTTAAAACTTTATATTATCTATACCTTACCTCATCTTTTGAATACAATTAACCTATATATAACACTGCAAAGTTCTTAATAAACCAAACAGGGGCGCAGCCCCCCAAAAAACCTAAACTTCTACTTAAATATTACAAGTCGGCGATATAATGCATACAAATAAAAAAAAACAAATTGTTAGCGAAATAATACGAAATTTTTGTAATTATCCGAAATAACAAACAAGTAATGTTGCAATATACCTAATTTATGCGTATTGTTATTATACAATAACGTAAACAAAATAACGCTATTGATTCTGCCGACTTTGCTTCTTCTGAACCGCTATGTCATCTTGCGGTACAACTATTGAATTGCTTTGGCGCTTCTCTTCAAGACTAGAGCGGATGCGCTCGATTGTTGCACCATGTAATGAGATGAAGCTAGTTAATACGGATAATACTATGTTGCAGTAGTAACGGATATATAAACGTGATTATATCAATATAAATTAATATACACCTTTACAGCCTATGAATTGACATTGTATTACGGAAAGGTCATAGCTCGACGGCCAATTCTATTTACAACAGACTCGTTGGTTCAACTAAGTTATATATCACATGTTTGCTCAATGGACAAACGGTCATATTTGAATGCGTGCAAGGATTTCCTATTTAACTAAAACATATAAATAAAACTCGGTCAAAGTATAAAGACAGGTAAGCCTGCGTACGAAGCACAACAGTAACCAACAACAATTTTCGAGTCGTTCGGTTTTGCTCTATCAATATAAATCACATATTCCCATTCAGCATAATTTTTATAGTTAATCAGAACTGGAATTTATTTATGTAAAACAGTTCTAAAAAGTACATGGAAAATACAACATCCAAGTAATTATACCTCAGCTGTAAAAAGATGCTTAAGTTTGTTGTTTTTACCAAACAAAAGTTGACCCCAAGTGAGAAATGAAGTTGGTGTTCCATTAACTTCGACATGTTCAGTTGAAAGCCATTGTTGGACATAATTTTTATCATAATTATCTGGGATTGCTCGGAGATTAGTTTCGGAATCCGGAATCCTTGACATATAGAGCCGGCAAGCATCAATAATAATTTCGGCTTTTGCTCGAACTCTGATATAATGCATTTTTCGCGGATTTTCTTGTTGATTGTTGGCCAGCATAACCAATTCATTAGTTAAAACTTGGAAAAATTCAGCAATTTTTGTGATTCTATCGATAAAAGAATTGATAGCCTCAAGCAATGGACCCTTTATAACGCTGGATGCAGCAGCAGCAATATCCCTTTCACTAGCTGCAGCATTGGCCTCTTGTATAACAGAATCCCTTTTCTTAGAAAGAATCTCCCTTGCCTTGGCGCCAACAACTGGAACAAAAAGTAAACGTAGAGCCCAGGCATAGTCGGTCTCAACTTTATTTCTAAGCCGTTGTTCTTTCTCATTAAGCGCTTTAGTCTCCAAGTCTAATTTTTGTAAAACTATTGTTGCTTGATCTTGCTTTTTTTTAAAGTCAACAAGAATCCTTTTATGAAGTTCAGCTGTAAACCTGCTAAGAGAAACTCTTTCATTAGCCTCATTAGCTAAATCAGCAATGTTTTCGCAAAATTCGTCGAAGGTAAAGGTCGTATAGTTTTCACAAAATTCTTGTAAGTAGGTGACAACAGCGTTGGCGAATGGGAAAATTTGGATTCTGTATACATTTGCATCATTAACAATTGAATTACGAAGCTGGACAAATTCTGGCACACTTGAATTATTCGTGACGTACAAGCTGCGAAGACATAAGGATGCAATTTGCAGTTGTGCAGAGGCATCGGAAATGCAATTGCTGAGCTGGACGAGATTGGCTTCGTTGACTTCACCCATGACGTCGTTGGTGATTGTTTGTGGTTGGAGTGGCTTAATATATACTTTTCGAAATGACCTGTACAACATACTTTACTGTACGCATCACATATATCTGCATATTTCAATGGAGACAAAAACGCATAAATGTCGCACACGATAATCACTGTATTGATACAAGCAAATCCCTAAACGTTTTTACCGCTTGAATCTTATGTTGTCTCATAAAACAATTGTTCCAGATAATTTTCACACCAGGACGCTTTCGCAATTTTATCTGCATATCAACAGTTCTTCATAAAGACAATAGCGGTTTGCACATGGGAAATCCGTTTGATGTATTCTGCGATTTTATTTAGATAATTTTTTTGGTATGGCTGGATGCGATGAACGTATTATTGATTTTAGGTATTGTTCAGGAGCATGATTGTGATGTTTACTTTTTGTGTATCTGTAATATCCAAAGTTAGATTGAAGCAAATATTATCATTAGGGGGCGGCTTGGGTGAAGATGAGTATCATACATTTGACTTGACATAGTAGTAACTGCCCGAACCGCGTCTTGTAAAAACAAATTGCCGATCTTCCAGGAGTTCCGTGTGACGGGTTTTAAAAAAGATTTGCTCCTACTGCTACTACCATATTTGAACAAACCCACGGTTCTACCGCTTACCCGTAAACAATAAGATACCCGATCTTCTAAGATTTCTGTGTGACGGGTTTTGGAAAAAATTTTTTTACTACTACTACTACTACTACTACTACTACTACTACTACTACTGCTACCTTCTTCGCGATTCTACGCTACCCGAGCATTACCGATCTTAGAAGATTCTGTGTGGAAAAAGATTTGCTACCGCTACTAATACCTTATTTGAACAAATAACGATAACATGTGAAAAAATGACGAAAAGGTAAAGACATCTTCATCTCTACTGTAACAGAGCTATGGACGTTGTGTCCAACCATGTGTTACGTGAAAAATGTACAGATTTAATGAACTACAGTCGTACCCTATAGTTAAAGTTATCCCCATATTAAAGTTAGTCAGACTCAATTGCCGATCTTTGCCTGAGAGATAATTATCCGAGTAGGTACAGAGGAAATTTCATCTGCAACAATTGCGACGACATAACCACAAACATAAACCTAATTAAGCTACTAACAAGTCACAGCAGATTCAAATCCTGTTTGTGAGCGAACCTGTTAGTTTCACCAAAACTTGCATTGTCTTTCTTGATCCGGAAGATCCGTTGCGATATCAACAATATTCGAACTTGGGTGTCCTTAACTCACACCCCGGGTGTGACTTATTCCTGGTGTACGAACGAATTAATGCATAGAGCAGCTTAATCAACTTATCAATTGGACTTCAAAGACTAGTACCCAGGTCAACGGAGTACATTTTCTTATTCATAAATCAGCGAATATTCGAACGTTACATACCGGATCTGTTAGTAAACTTTAAGCTTAATGCAAATTCTTTCATTACGGTTCTATTTTATATTAAGTCGGGCATTTTATTAGAGAGATCTACATTTCTTCAATACTGTAACTATTGTATGTCAGTCAGAATTATAGAATAATGCGTAAACTTAATTGGTTTTCCTGCTTCAGTTTTGTCTTATCACTATGTCCAGTTCTTGGATATGTTGTGCGCATACAGTATTTTATCGACTATACGATAGGCACATCGATTGTGAGGGTTAGTTAAACATAATGACAAGTATCTGTAACCTTATTCCAAAGATGTCTGATTTATGAATAAGAAAATGTACTCCGTTGACCTGGGTACTAGTCTTTGAAGTC